TGGGAGACTTTAAAACAGGATTATTTCTCCTCTGCTTCTATCCCTCCTGATGTTGTCACATCTATAATTCTAAAATTTGCTTTGAGTTTTATGCCTGCCTACTTCCTACCAGTTGTCAGCCTTATTATGAGAATTAAATAATCATATCAATAAAGCACCTGGAGACTTACTGAAAATAAAAGGCTGACAAAAAATAATTTATGCTCCCTATTCAACCCTGTGGAGAGTCAGACTGTTACTGCCCACAAGCATGAAACGGTCACAAGATATATAGGATAGTTCTATGCATTTTGGATTTTATAACATTTTGAGTAAAATTACACTTTAAAATTTTAAAAGAATATCAAAATACTTTAATTAAATTTGTGTTCAAGTTGACCATTAGGCCTAATTGTAGGAGGGGCAATGTTTTCTTTTTTATCTGATTAAATAAATTCTTCCTTCAAAGTTTAGATAGGTAGTGTGTGTATTAGGAGATTATTTTATGGCTTAACTAGTGTGACGTGGAGTCCCTGGGTCATGTGAGGAGAAACTCCTGTACAAGCAGTGACTGTGACTAAGGCGAGTGCTGCTGTCGTGCTCCTGGGTCCTCTAGCCCCATGCTCCCCCACTCCTCCATAACTGCCTCTTCCTCCATGCTGAAACCTTTAAAGACAGAGAGAAGAAGGCGTTTTCACAATACAAGGAGTAAGTTAAGTAAACAGCACATTCATTGATAGATTGATTGACCATTACATCAGCAGGCACTTGCTCTTCCATTTAATGGAATTAAATGAAAATAGATTATTCATCATGAATCAGCCATTAGGTCATAGACTAGACTTTTCTGTAAAGAATATTCACGTCTAAATCATCACTTATTTAAAGAGTTCCTGTAATGCTTTCAGCATTGTGCTAAGGCGTACAGAAAATAGAAAGATATGTGAGATATGGTTCCTGCCATCAGGGAGTTTTAACTTACTCTTTAAAAGAAGAAAATTCTGTCTTATGGATTTTTCCCAAGGAAGTAATTCAACTGGAGCAAAAAGATACATGCTGTAAGACTGCATAATCTTCTACAATAAAAGAATGTTATTAGCAATCTAAGAGTCTAACTTCAGGAGATTAACAAGTTATTAAGCATCAAGATATAGAATATTATACACTCAATTGAATAGTAGTTATGAAGACTGTTGAAACGTGGAAAATATTCATAAATATGTAAAATAAGGGCAATATGAAATAGAACGGACACTATCTGTGCAGTCCCGCTGACCATATATAATGTAAGAGCTGGGGTAAAAGCATGAGTAGATAGTAAGAGGAGAAGAGCTTCAAACATGTCAGGGTTCATATTAAAACATGATCTTACCTGCACTAGTGTTTCTCAAATTCTAACCTTTCTCTGATCATTTTTAATAGATCTATTACTAGTATATTTACATGATAAATATTAAACATGGAAAACTTTTAAGGATAAAAACCTTCTTGCTCTTTAACGGCAGTTTTGATCCCTGTTGACAACCTATCTAAGAACTTTCTAAATTAAAACTAGTTCTACTGTGAACTCCGAAGGCTCGGTAGAATAACCCATCAGTGCTGTGCATTTTTTCGTATTTGGATGTGTGCATTCATTGCCTTGGAGACTGGATCATTTTGTCTTCTGGCTAGACTCCAGCCCTTCTCTGATCTCAACTGACCATGATTCCTACTGGAGCCCCAGTTCTGTCCCCTCCACATTGTTCCGAGGACACCAGCTGACCCACAGTCTTCCGTTCTACAATATGGGCTTTGTCTCGTGTGAGCTGCAGGTCTTGCTGCAAAGACGTTTCTCACGTGGGCAGCTCCCACTCATCACCAAATAGCAGAAATTTCTACATGCTCAGCAAATAGCAGGCTGAATTTATCATTGTACATGGTTGATAAGAAAGGGCATTTATTGTTTATTAGATGATATTCCAGAGAATTCATGTGAGGGTGACGGTACTCATCCCTCAGGCAGAGAATAGCAGCATTTTTCAGCTTCGTTATAAGATGAGGTGAAAGAAAAGTTATTGCACAGTGGCTGTGAACAATGAGGGGACCCTGACCTTTCTAAATCAACTGCCAGGGCAGCAGTAGAAAGGCCAAAGAGTAACTAGGTCACTAAAGATGCGCGGAGGGAAAGGGAGTTGCGGTATTGAAACATTCTGGGAGCAAACAGTGGATGCTTTTCAACAGAGAAATCGGCCATTTAAGTCATTTACTATACAGAATGCCCTTCCATGACCTTTCTATACTAAGGACATAAAATTAGCACATTACATTTCCACTCACCAATTATAGGAAATTGTGAAAGCTCCAGAGTTATTCCAGCGTTATCTCAGGAGAGAGAGGTGGGAGTGGCCTGACTGTGTCTGCTTCAAGAGTGGCAGAGGGGCACGGAGGGAACTTACCAAGTACATTCTTTTAATTTTGTTCAGTTTCAACAAACTTCTTTTACAAGTAACTAAAAGATAGAAAAGCCACACTGTTTTAAAATAGGACATTCAGTTTTCTAACATGTATGGTTTTATTTATGTTGATAAGCAATAAGGGTACCCAGGTCATTTTGATATTTAGACTTAGTGCACTTCCTACGGCAGCTTTTCCTTAACGTGCCCTCCATAGAAACTGGGCAGATAATTTAGGAAGATGATGTAGAGGCCATTCTCAATCCTCTTATATACTCACACTGCCCATTAGAATTGTGAAGACTCTGAGAAATGCCACAATTAAAAACCCTGTTTAACTCTGTTTGCCATGGAGACCTTTATTATTTTGTATTTACATATGAATTTTTATTTTTTTGATAATACTGATTAATATAAACACTTCTAGGAAACAAAGAAATATAGCAACAATTAAAGTATTTATTGTTAGATGCTATGATATGACTAATCTTTGTTTAGGGTCAAATCATAAATTATTCTGATATCAATTAGAATGAAACAGCCCACAATCAAATAGCATTGCAATTTGTAACACAGGAGGAGAGAATGTGGCTTCACAGCCTCCAAATAGGAAGGATGGGAACAGAATTGAGAAGTGGTAAAGGGACCCTTGTCACTGTTAAGGGTAACCAGACTCAGTATGGACAACAGTGGAGCCACAAGATACAAGCATTTAGTTTATTCAAATTCCAATTATATGTAAAGAGCAAAAACCCCTGGGTTTCCCCATCATCTCTCGACACCCCCAACCCCACCTTCAACTGGACCCCACTTTAGAAAAAGGGAAGTCAAGGCAGCAATCAAAGAAAAACCTAAGAAATGAATTCTAGGCTATTAGCAGGGATTCTGCCCTGGACTGTTCCAAGGGGCATCTTTCAAAGTCTGCGGGACCGCACAGTGTACAGCCTGTATGGCCATGCATAACGTCTCTGGCTTGTGTGCTCCTAAAGACCCAGGTCCTGGTGATTAGGTGTAACTTAAAGGATTTTTAAGGGTAATTTCAATTGTTAGAGGTTTTCAATTTTTACCTATGCACTGACCTTACAACCTAGCTCCCACTCCCATGTGTTTTTAACAGAACATTACCAGGGTTATATAGCGTGCATATCCCACTCTGCTTCATGGTGGAGAAATGCTTATTTCACGTGGTTTAATCAGATGTGCTCATATACTACCAGTTTCTGGTTAAAGCTGAAATGGTTCAAATGTGAATGGTAAGAATATTACGATGAAATATTCCAAATATGAATGTTAAAATCTATGGCTAGTTAAGTCTCTTTGAATTCTTTAACTCTTTAAAAATTAAAAACAAAGTAAATGAAAGTTGGATTAACCTTCAATATTCTAATAAAAATAATTCAGTTGTTCATGTCTAATGGGGAAGCTTTTCATTACCTAGAAAATACTGATTTAGCTCAAACATCAAACATATAAAAAGACAGTTACTGCTTTACTATTTAACATGAACCCTAGACCTAATAATTTTTCAAATGATATATTTATCATCCCAGAGGGCTAATGACATGCTTGTTACTAGAGATGCACTTTTACTGCAAAGTACTTTTTACAACCAGAGAAAATATTATTAACATTAATTTTCATGTCTATCTGTAAGGAGAATAATATCATTAGTTGCCAGAAAGGCTTAAATACACAATTCTGAGGTGTTTTTACTATAATTTCTAAGGTTAATTCCATTTTTATTCTCTCTGACTTTAGCTTATATAAAACTATTTTGTGTATACATAGGTATGTATGTATACACACACATCCACTAGCCTTTCCAAAGTAATACCTTTTTATTATTTTTATATTAAAACTACAAAAATATCCCCAACTGAAATGTCCTTTGCCTCAGATCTTAGGAACACAAATAGAGATTTCCGTATCACTTGCTCTCAGACTCGTTGGTGCTGGACTCCTTCTTCTTGTGGATTTGGCCTTGTTAAACTGTGCCTTATTAATGTCTGTGCTTCGGGCTGTATTGCCCTCTGCTAGGATGTGTGTAAATCTTATTCATGCACTTGAGCTCTATGACAGCAGAAATTCCTTCATAATAAATAATAAATTCTTGTTGAATGTTTGAGAACAAATAAACGGAGTCTCGATCAATGAATTCTCCATAAAAACGAGAAGGCACTAGCATAGCGAATGTGACTGTGACAACGGGAAAAGGGCGCTGGCTTGGTTGCAGGTGAGAAACTGCTGGAGTGAACTGCCTGCCATAAGGTGGGGGCTTTTCCTCAGGTGTGAAAACACAATTTTACGCAAGAGAAAAGAGTAAAGAGAAGTCAGCAAGAAGCGGGCTTTGTCAAGACATATCAAGGATAAGATCCAGTAGTGACAAAAAGCAGAAAAAGACAAAAGAAACCGACAAGTAAAACTCACCAGATAAAAGTGGCTGATTTGAATATGATGGAAAATTACAGATTTTTTTAAATGGAGGATGAAAACATCAGATGTAAGAATATTGTAAAAGGAAAAAAGAACGTGGGGGATTTTTTGCTTTATCCAGCTTTTAAGTGATCTCCATGGTTTTTTTCCTTGCAGAATGCCAGAGTCCCCTGGTGAAGTTCCCGAATATCCTTTGTTTGTCACAGTCGGTGACTGGCTGGATTCTATAAAAATGGGGCAATATAAGAATAACTTCATGGCCGCAGGCTTTACCACTTTTGACCTGATTTCAAGAATGAGCATCGAGTAAGTGGTGCTAGGGTTATTACTGTCTTTAGATGCTCCACTCAGGAGACTATACATTCAAATACTATGTCAAGAATCCCGTAGTTAAACTATTTTTCCTAAGGCTACTTTGGCATTTCGACCTCTTTCCTCACCATTTCTGACTATCGTTCTAGTGAAAATTGGACATAACACTTTTAACTTCTATTCTTTGAAGGAATATGTTTAATTCAAATAGCTATTTTTAAAAAACATGCTTTCCAAAATGCATCCCACTCTTGTTCACCTCATGGACTTTACGTCAACATAGTCTTACCTGAGCATATTATTTATGATGCACATTTACTATCTTGTACAATCAATTCCTGTTATCTTCAGCAATGCAGTAACGGTAATCCTCTCATTTCAGAGCTCCCTCTCTCTGTTATAATGGTCGGGCATTTGTTCACTGTCTCAAAGATTTTCCTTTGCTGCCTGCAATAAAAATGCTCAAGATGTGCTTAAAAGACTAGGGAATAACACTAGTAGGTTAAGCCATATGAAATTCCCATTGTTTTAAAATGGTAGTGGCAATTGCATGTGGTTCAACATAATACAATGGCGTTCTTTTTCAGATTATTGAAAGACCATGAGAACTCAAATGGAGTCCACATTATAGCTCTACCCTACATACTGACCGTTTTGCCCACACTGTTGAAAATTTATATAATCACCTAAATTATATAACCTTTAGGTCTGTGAAGTGTCTAAACATACATAGGTACCTGAATTTGAAATTTTTCCTTGTACCCTTAAATTCGAAGTTAATTTGATGTATTTTCTGGCACCAGGAAGAAGAAAAAAGTAACAGACTCTTGACGTTCATTTATGTCTCTGCTTAAACTCTCATTTTACCAGCTATCCAATTTTTGGCAAATTCCTAGAGCAAATCTGACATGGTGCCTATTTACCACATCTAAACGTTCGTTTCTCCTCTCTCATCCTTACCGGATCTAAACGCCACATTCTCTCTGTCTCTCAGGGACGTCAGAAGAATCGGAGTCATCCTCATTGGACACCAGAGACGAATAGTCAGCAGCATACAGACTTTGCGTTTACACATGACGCACATACAGGAGAAGGGGTTTCACGTATGAAACTACTGCAAGCACCTGCGTTTCGTGCCTCAGCATTTCTAAAACGAAAGATACCCTCTCTGCTGATTCTCCGAACATCGCTTCACAAACCGCAGTCTCCTGTTCAGACTACGAGCGCACCTTTTGTTTATGCTTCCAACCCGGCTTTTAAAATCGTGCTTCACAGGTCCTTGCTGAACAACCTGCAGATAAAACCGCGGCCCCTGCAGAGCCGCGCTGCGCGATGGTGAATGCTCGGCACGGGTGTGTAGCTCGGTCCAGCAGTGCTGGGGACGTGCCCACGCCTCACCCTGGAGTCCGCCCGGATGCGGCTGCCTTCAGGGTGTGTTCAGAGTTTGATGGTAGATGAAAAAGAGAGAGTCGATCTTTCTTTCATGTTTTGTGATCAAGTAGCTTCCAAATTGACATGAAATTTATTTTTTAGATAATTATATTCAACTCTATGGGTCGTTTTGTTGGTTTATTTTATAATAGTTTAACTGTTGATGCCTGATGTTGATAGATTTGCAGAAATGACTGACGATTTCATGTAGTGAATTCTTGTCAGGTGTGACTGTGGTGAGAATGGGGTCATCGGGGAGGGAGAAACACCCTGGGCTTTTAAATCTTCCAAGGCTGAGTTTGTTTTTTTTTAAATTAGCTTTATGGTGTCCTACATCTTTCATAGTAGGTGGTAATTGAGAGGTTTCTGCTCTAACCTTTTGCTAACTATGGTATGTTTCTCCACGACCTTGTGGAGGTCACGCCTGAAACACCAAGAATGAGTCCAGTGCTCTAAAGGCTCCCGTAGAGTGAAGCATGGAGTAAAACCATGGCCGTTCCCTTGTTCATCTTCACAAGTTTGCAAAAGTAATTATCAAAGCGCTGAGAAAATTAGTTACTCTCAGTAGAATTACGTTGAATAAAAGATCTAAGATTATACCCTTAGATTTAATATAAAAAGATTAATTAATTTAAGCAGAATTTTATGATAGCTATATGGAGGTCCAAGAAAATAAACACAGCTAGCTGACTGTCTGATTTAGGTGCATTTTGCAAGTTTAAGAACTTTATATTTTTTCCGTCAAAATAAGTTACATGAACATGCTGAGCTGTTTTCCAAACCTTCCAAGAGATGAGTATGCCATTGCATACTCCAAAGAGGCTATAAACAGATCCGACACAAGAGCATATATAAAATGTGTGTCAACCTGGGTCCCTACTACAGTAACATAAAAACGTGAACACAGCTAAGATGTGTTGTCATAACCTTCTCAGATGCTGCAAAAAAGACAGATATACTTTTCAGTGAGTTCAGCTGAGTCAGCTTCTCAAAGTAGTGCTATCTTACGAACAAATTCAATTATAAAATCAGCTGTTCCCTGTGAAACTAAAAAAATGACTGGTGTGCTAGGTGGAAGAGTGGGGAGCATATGTTAGAGAAAAAGAGAGCAGGTTGTCTAAAGATACTGATTTACTAAATCGGTTTTTATTTGATCTCAGAGATAAAGGTGCTCTACCCACATTCTCAAATTCCTACCTAAATTATATTTTTGGGTGATAGTAGCTTTCTTGCTATTAAAGGAGCCTCATTTTTTCTTTTTTCCTTATTTTACGCCTTGTCAATCATCCCATTAGACTAGACCCTTCCACATATTTTCTTTTGCTGATTTATCTCCTGATTTTAGCCTACCACAGCTAAATTTTCCCCATTTCAAAAACAAAGTGTATAGAGCTACAAGGAACTGTCTTTAAAATATTCCTTAAAGTATACTAAAAATGAAAAAAGTGGGAAATCCATCACTGTTTGAGTAAGTGTGTGAGAAATAGCTAGCAACGTTTTCCAGCCGTCCCCTGCATGGTCATGCCTCACTCACAGACTCTGCAGTTTGCTTGATGCATTTACACAAACCTGGATACATTTAGAGGAAATATAAAATTTCCATATTTATCTGTCTTCAAATATATATTAAATAAGAACAGATATAAAACAGATTAAATTTATTAATCATATATATTTATTTTTATAACAAAAAAGGTATTTAGAAAAATAAGGAATAGAATAATTATGGTCTTCCATAGGTCTCTGTCAGCAACATCTGTATACTTTGATGAAATAAATTCTATAAAGTATTTAAACTTCTTTGGGATGGGCATTCAGTGCTTTGCAAGATTAAAGTTCTCTGTTAAAAATTTTTTTCTTAAAGAAGTCCAGTGATTTTATTCTATATGTGGTTAACTTGTACTTTTTTTTTCTTGCCTAACATCTTTTTCTAGTATTACAAAACTACCTTTACACTTTGTCTCTTACCCCAAATCTTCTTTAAAATTTCTTTAAGTTTACATTTATATTTTCAGAACTGTAAGCATGATAATCTCAAGTGTAATTTTCAGCCTCATCATGGCTAGAGCAAGGTTGAAATGTGTGTGCAAGATTAAACAAAAACATTTTATCAAAAGATCTCTATTTCTTTACTGCCTACAAACCATGTACTCCATGATCCCAAGGGAGTTATAATGTTCAGGAATACTAACAGTTAAATTGCCAAATTCATTTGGAAATTTTACTTGAAATATTTGAGATTTACTAATGCACATATTGAGTAATTAAAACTGTTTAACATGCATAAGCAGAGAACTTAATTATAGAAAGAAAATGAGTTGCTTCCATAAGTCACAAGCCTTCAGGAATAATCTTTGATAACAAAACTATGCATATACATTCATGTACCTGCTTTATTTTAAATTTCTTAATTTATACTACTGAGGGGCTTTGCGGATTTTGAAAATCAGAGAGTTGAAGAAACCATTTTCATTTTATCTTCTGAGTGGTCAATCTCCAGTCTATGGTCAGCTCATTGTTTCATAGCATAAGGCATACTGGGAAAAATGTGAAAGTGCATGATCAAGAAGAGAGATTAGGTCTGTAAATCATTAAACTGAAGAGGCAGTCCGGAGTTGCAGAGCTGTTGGCTTAACAAGAATCAAGAATTACAGAACTTTTACACTGACATAACTTTTGGTAAATAAGTTATGCATGCCATAGTCAAAAAAGATTTATCGTGTTTCCCCTCTGTATTACTCTTTAAAATCTATCCGACTATCACCTGAATAAAACAGCCCTCCAGCTACAGCTTTAAGGGCGGTCTCACCCATGAATGGAAAACAAATCCAAATCCAGTGCTTGAGAATCAAAGTCTTGACAGAAATTCTTCTGAAGAGGTGGTGAAGAGTGAATTACACTATCTCCCAACCACATTTCCTAAAATATCCATATTTATATCATTCCCTACCAAACTTCTGCTCTGTAAAGCAGTAAGTAAATCTCTTATCTCAAAATTGTCACTAATACCAGATATCTTTTTTCTTTTCCTTTATTAAATTTTCTAAAACTTCCTTTCTCAGCCCGCTCTCTTCTCTCTTTATTCCCCCATCCCACCTCTCTTCTTGTCTCAGCAAATCTGAAAAGAACTTCCAGATCTCTTCAGAGGAGGCTGAGGGTGGAGGGACAGGGAATGCTGCACAAGTCATCCTTCTGTGTTTTGGGTCAGCCCACATAAATGGGAGCATTTGCACTCGCAGAGGGTACGAGTCCTGGCTTTGCATCAGCTAGAAATTAATTGCTTTGGAAAATAATTTCAAAATGGTTGGTGATGATCCTTTTCTGTATCTTTATATAAGGAAATTTATTATTATTTTTAAAGGTATTAGTATTCTAAGAATCAAAAACTTTTATTATCAGTTCACAGTTGGTGTCCATGTCTTTATGTAACAAAGAGTTAAGAAGCTGATGTATCACTTCTTTTAGTAGGATCACCTTAACTTTTCCAAGCTCAAATTCATTTAAGTAGAAGAGACTCAATATTTCTTCATGTTCAATCCAAAAAGATTTTACTGCTTTCTATATGAAGATTCCAAAAGAGAGAGGCATACGCTGCATCAAACTGATGGTGTTCTTCCATTAGGACGCCAGGCACTCATGTCACCTAACTTTTGGTTTTTATGATCAACATTTTCAACAAATTTCCAAACTTTATTATGTTCAATAAAGGGAGTGTAAACTTGATTTAGTTCAGTTTAACAAATATCTATGAGATGTCTCCTACACGCATAAAATTTTATGGCAAAAATGAGTTTGGCTGTACTGTTCTTACCTTCAAGTGACTCTTGAGCTTACAGCTCAGTGGTCAGAGCCTATTTGCTGTGGCTGCTGTGATTGCCATGTCCCTAAGGGTCAGCTCCTTCCATAGGACAAACATACGCTAAACAAATAAATAAAACCTTGCCCAGTGGGAATCGGATTTTCAATCCCTATGGAAAGAAATTATGTTGGACCTCAGATCTCCTAGAACAGTCCACATTTCCTCCAGACAGCGGGGAGCATGATTGCTGGATTCTCTAAGACAATCTCCCTTGTTAACAGTTGGCGCCTCAGGAGTCACAGGTGGCAAGCTTTTCAGTTCCTGTGAAGCTCACTATCTCAAAGGTGCCTCCAATTCGAAAACATTAGCCATTTCTCAAAAACAATTCTGGAGTAATCTCTTGCCCGAGCCAATTCACTGGTCGTAGTAAAAGGAATAACAGTATGAACCTGCAATGGCTGCATAAAATTCTTTCAAACATGGTACATTTAACAGTGGAAGGGGACAATTACTTGTTACTAGATCTGATGTATTACTAGGTGAAACAAAGGAAAAGAAAAATCTTATATTGCAGAAAAGTAAATACCACATCTTTCTCTTACTGTTCCCTTAAAAAGCCAAGTATTAGGCAGGTATTTCAAAGATTTTTCAGGATAAAAATATATTTTTTATATTATAAGGGGATGTGACATGATATACATGTCTTCTGGGAAAAGGTCAAGATCCAGACGATACAGGTCATCAAAATGTGGTTTTAACTAATTCTCTTTCTTCTGACTAATAATTAGGTTCAAATTTCAAATTAATGATGGACTTATATAAAATGTACAATAAAGGATATTTACATCTAATTGAAAGACTTGGGTTCTTTGCTCTTAATTCGAAAGAGTTTTTTGTTCAATTGGCATTTACTTTTCTAGGATTTTAGAATAGATTTGAAAGTCTACCTTTAGCTTATGAGTGTTGATTCAAAATTACTGTATTTTAAAATGAAACAAAAAATTAAAAGAAAACTTTTCAATTACTAAAGGTAGCAAAGCACTATTAAAAAAGAATCAACTTCATCTTTTAAAAAAGAATCTGGCAAATACAAAGTTTTGTGTATCTCCTAATGATACCAAGTCACCTCCATTTTGTTATATTTTTGCACTTTGCCATTGAAAGTAAAGTTTCTTTCTAAACAAAACAAAGGAAGGTTCTTGCTTGAATTTGGTTAATTAGAGTACTGAATCTCTATCATTAAGAGAACTTTCGATTTGTTTCATTTAAAGGGAAAAATCTCAAAGAATTCCACTACCTCTAGATACACCTAATTCATCCTTAAGAATAACAAAGATGTTAAAGAAAAATTACGTGACAGATGAGGATGAAAGATAGCTCTGAACTGTAATATAAGGATGTGGTTTCTACTGTTGATTAGAAAATAAAGTACAGATTAACAACACAATTTCCCAGGAGTTGTAAATTAGAAAAGTGTCAGAGTTAGTGAAAATCTTCTCAAGTAAAGCTCTGTTCTCGTCCATATTTCTCCAATATTTGTAATCTCCGGCTGTCTTCAGCTTGTCATAATAAACTCACTTTTGGTTAAGTTATCAATTCAAATAATGAATCAGAAAAACTGAGATGTGGCTTTAAAGTGTTTTACAAGATAACAAAGTGAGGCCAACCCTGCTCCAGGATTCCTATTTAGCCTCAGTCTCCATCTCATTAGCCCTCCCTGAAGGGAGAACCATCTTTATTCCACAATAATACAGTAATATCAAGAAGACTCCAAGGACATGAGAACCTTCATTTTTCATATATGTAATTCAAATTTTATATTTAGGCATTATTAACTTTGAAGATAGATGTCCTTGTTTTCATGGGTTAAATAGGGGCTTAGATGACAAGCAATATTGATGTGAATGCTTCTATACAAGTTTTTCCACATTTGCAGACCATCATTCTTAACAGTCTTAATTCGCCTCTGTTCTGTAAAGACTAAACATCGTTTAACTTTTTGAAACCAGGATAGATGTGAATAGTGCTAAATCATAAAGATGAGTAAACAATACACTTTCAAGATTTTTACCTAATTTAAAATGTACTCTTCTATTGCTTTTATAACCAATTAAAAGTCTCTTTTCTACATTTAGTAATTTGTAGAATTAAAGTATGCATTTAGATAGAAATTGCTTTTGTTAAATTTTTATTTACACATATCCTTAGAGAGAAGCCAGGATATAATTAATTCTATTAGCTCATTTTTCATACAAAGTAATAACTTTTGCTCTCTTTAGAATTATCTACCCAGTAATACCATTGGTGGTAATGAAGTTTTTCTTTGACTTTACATACTTTATTGCCACATATTATTTTTGCCTTTAAAATAAATCTGTGTCAAACTATGGTCTTTAGAACTCTATGACAAAATCAGTGGCCACTCATTTGCTAACCAACTGTTTCCTCTGTCGGTGTGATTGATGGGAGCCTTGTTAAATTTAACGTGTTTGAATATCCATTGGTATGTTATCCACAGGCATTAGTGCAATATCTTCAAAAGTCTTTAAAACAAAACAGAATTTCATGGAAAATATGATAAACAATGACTGGGGCTTTTTTAAATTTCAGCACTCCTTGGAAAATAAGGTTTAATGTGGACAAATGTTTGTCATTGAAGTTTTCAATGTGATGCTTTAATGTTTAATGTGATGTTTTTTCCCATTGCCATATACATGTATTCAAAGAATATTGTATTAATATATCTATACTATGCAAAAATCTCATTTTCTTCTTACAAGTATGGAGTTTTGATATAATTTTAGGTTTTTAGGTCTCCAAGGGAAAAAACCCAAAATGTGAAATGGGAGCATTTTTTTGTGTGTAGTGCACAATACCTGAGCAGTCTTAACAAATATGAATATGTGTAGCTTGATTTTAAAGATTACCATACGTGCTTTATTTCTGATACATTAATCATTTTGTTACTCACACTCCATCTTAGATTGTGTCACTGAAAATTTGAATAACTACAGGATATAAATGTCTTTGGCATTTTTCACAAACTATACTTGGGCTTAATTTTCTATGTAGTGCAAACTTTGAAAACTTAATTTCGAATTTTGAAGGAATAATTGTAAATTAACAGTCTATGTTTCCTAAAATGTTAGTCATGTTATACCTCCTATAATAAGCTTATTTTTAAAAAATCAGAGGCAGAGCATGGATGCAGAACATGGAAACAGACCAAGTTCCATTAAAATTGAGGAAAAGACAAAAAGGTAATATAAAAAGGGGATTATGTTAAAACTATGACCTCAATAAAAGAAAACTATTAGGAATGAGAGAAAATTATGTCATGTTACTCTTACTGATAATTTTGAAACTAAAATTCATTTTGAGGATGGGAATCTCTAAAATAAACAAGTTCACTAATATTTGTTAAAATATATATTGGTATATAAAATTACAAAGAACTCTTACCAAAATATCAAAAATAGAAATTTATTTTAAAAAATTGTATTAATAGACCAAATGATTACAATTATTAACATTCCATACTACTAGTTCTTTTGATTTCTAAGATGTATATAATCAAAGAATTTGCCAAAAAAAAAAATACATCGAATACTGGACTGTCAAAGCACTTTATACATATTAATCACTCTCATTAGTAATTGAGTCTTTCCTTCTATTATTAAATGTAAAAACAGTCAATATCAATTGTAGATAAAAAGAATGGAGTGGAAAGAGTAGTCTTAGAATCAATTTATGCTTTTATACAGTTACATAAATCCAACACATAGTCTAAATGTTTAAAACATATGGTACCTATATATTAATTTCTGTTATATCTTATGATCTCTAAATGTTTATATTCTTTCAAGATTGTCTCTCTTTTCAGTTGTTTTAAGTATTAAACAAATGAGCTGCTTTATATT